AAAAAAAAAAAAAAAAAAAAAAAAAAAAAAAAAAAAAAAAAAAAAAAAAATCTTCCTGAAACCTGAAAGAAAGTTACAATCTTCTGCTTTCATTTCATAAGCTTGTTTGGAGGGGAAGCAATCTTTTGATACCAGTTAGCAGCAATTGTTTCATCCACTGCTACAACAAACCAGCTATCATGTCTTTGTTTCCCAGGTACCCCACTCCTGAAATGTTAAATATCCTGCTGCCTGCACAAGCAGGCACTCACTGTTTTCAGTTCAGTGCAAACTGTTCCAGAGATGAGAGATACTCCATGTACTCCTGCAGGCTGTTTGTTTTGTTGTTCCTGCTTTAAAATAGAGGTCATTCTGGCTGAATGTAATCTATTAACTCTTTTTGCATGGAAAGCATTTTCTAAACAGGTTAGTAGAACCTGTTCATAGAAAGCAGAGGGATGCAGCGAGAAAGGTGCTCTTCCCTCTACATTGAATTAGTTTAATAAGAATAATAGTTTCTGTGTTTTGGAGAAACTAAGCAAATTAAGCTGAATAGTAATTGACGTCGTTAAATACAGGATAAAGAAATACTGGAAAGATGTCAGCATCATTCTTTAAAAGATATGGAAGTTACACAGCACATACCAGGGGTTCTGCCAGCAAGCAAACCTGCTTACATTGGCCACAATGTTCTTCCAAAAAAAGATAGGATATGCTTTGAGAATAAAACAGTGTCCTGAGTTCCCTCCCTCTTCCAAGTGGTTAAACAAAGGACTTCACTCTCAAAAGCCAAGACTAACAGTTTATGCTGTACACTTGCAGACAGAAAAACTGAAGAGAATCCTCTGGCAGTATCAAGTTAATCATCAAGAAGCAAGACCATGATTCAATGAAATCCTGCACTCAGACATAACCCTTAGGAAGAACAACAGGTAACTATTGTCTGAAATAGCTAAATGGCATTCTAGTCACCTGTTAAATGAACTATGCCACCAAGCCATCATTCAAAAGACTTAAAAACCAGTTTCGCACAGACGATGTTGCTCTGCTCCTTCAGCTCCCCTCATCCCTCTACTCATTTCACACAGCACCCGGCCTGTCTCCTCCCTCCCACCCCAGCCTTATCCCATCACAGCTGCAATGCAAAATTGCTCCAAATGCAAAATTTTCAGTTACAAGATTTATAACTCCTCTGCAGACAAGGAGTTGGAGGTCCTTGGGTACAACCCAACCTAATCCTAACTTCTGATCTGTGTGGAACTCATCTATCAAATCTTTTCAATGCCAAAATGAGGGCAAAGCACACGACAACTTCTATACACCTAAAGCTTCAATGAAGTATTCTCAAAGATCTATTTTCATACCCTAAACCTTTCTTTCCATGGTTAGATATTACAGCCTACTGCAGCAGTCACTGGGTTGCAGTCTGAATAAACTCAGCTACCCTCCTTCTAAACGACAGCAACCTGACCACCTCACCAGCCAAGAAGAAGTCGTCCATCTATTCGTATCGTATCAATCCCTTCTGCAACACTGAGTCAGGAAGGGCTCCATTACATCACAGCATTTTCATTCACAAACTTCACAAAACTTCTCCATTTTGCAGCTCACAAACAAACCAATACTTTGTGGCAGACTGCATGAAAACAAACAGAAAGAAACAGGAGATCTTTTCTTATTCTGTAGAAGGGAGGATAATCCCTTCTCTCTTGCATTGTATCTCGGAGCACTGTCAAGTTTTTAACATAACCTATTTAGAAAAAAAAAAAATAATCCCCTAATCCTTAATTTCCTCTCCTACAGGCACAAATGATTAGAGAAGTGATTTATAAAGCTCAGGGACACTTTTCATTTATCATTTTTGCTACTTCTCACACATATTTCAAATGATACAGTAAGACAGCAGCTTGCAATGTACAGTATTGTAATGCTACTTTCAAGATTAGCACTCAGTTTTGCATGCAGCTAATGACTGAGTCATCTGGCAGTTGCCTAAGCAGCAGTGGAAGTGTACAGCACAAACCTACGTTTTAATTTACATCATTTATCACAATGATTTTTCTCCAAATATCTGAAACTGTAAGGATACTGCAAATTATAAACTAATTAATATAATCATTGCAAGAACACAGGAATGTAACTGATGCTAAAGTATTACTATGTGTAGATGAGACAGATGACAAGCAGGCTGGAGCCTGGAGATTCATGTGGTTGTCACCACAGAAAAATGTCGTGTGCATGCTGCACAGGGCTTCTTCCAAGAGGTGACACAGTCCTTGCATTAAAAAAAAGCTTGAAAAGACTGCATAGGAGGTCAGCATCCTCTATCTATTCCCTCCCACACTAATTTCTCTCTTTTGATTTTGCCTATAAAACTAGTCTTTATATTCCTTGCCTGACAGACAGGTTAGTTCTGACTAAAAGATTACTATTATCACCACCCAACTTTGTGCGCTGACTTGAAAGCATCCAGGTGGTTCAACTTTTCCAAGCAAAAATCACCACTACATTTTAGCCTAGGCACACAAAGGGTTTACCAAGCATAAATCTTAGAAATGACTCAATTGTCTTAGCTTAAGTTTACAAAACAAACAGAATCAGAGCTCAAATAAACAAAAGCAGACACCTTGTATGATGAATCTCATCCCGCAAGATTAAAATATTTGATTCTGAAAACCAGTTCCTACAAGAGATATGGCAGGCAACTCTTCATCAGTTAAGTCCCAGCCCAGTGAGGACAAAGCTAGGGCTTAGAATACAAAATGGTCATGACGTTTAATCTGTGAAATAGAATTTGTTTCTACAATTAAACGTGAACTGTAAATTGAAATTGTTTTGCTTTAAAGTGATCCCAAAAGTCATTACTCTGGGCCATCTGTGATATCATGTGGGTGTACCAGACTTCTGGCATCAAACTTAACAGCATGAAGTGCTTGAGTTCTTGAAAAGGGGGAGGAGTCAACTTACCACCTTTAAAATTTATTTACGCAAAAAGTGTTCCCCAAAGCCTGTGTAGTGAATATATTTAGCACAGAAAGCAAGAATTAACTCACTTTCCTTTTTTGTTCTGTATTTCACTTCTAACAAGAGCAATTGCTTGTTGACAATGCGTAATGTAAACAGGAGATGACACTGACTTCTTTCTTTTTTCTACCCTTGTTGAAGAGCTGGCTACAACAGAAGCAAGATAACAAAACATAACACACAATTTAAGAGTTAAGGCCTTCGGAGGAACCAATGACTGTTATATCTTGTCACACAAAGGGTAAAAATGTAATGAAGGAAATGCTTTCTTTTCCCCATGTGTTTTTTCACCCTGATTACATAACACTTGTGACAGTCAAGCAGATTACTGCTTGACCAAAAGCAGACATTACCTCTAAAGGCTGATCGAGTCAGTTAAACATAGAAACATGAATGACTGTATATTCCTTTGTTAATTCATAAGACACTCCCTTTGTTAGCCTGGAATATCATGAACATATTACTACTACCAGGAATAGTTCTGTCACATTAGAATGAATAACATCAGACAGGGAGTTTAAATTCAAAAGCCTATTAGAGCAAACTTAGCTACTCTAAGTGATGAAATCTCAGGGAAGCTCTGCTCAATTTTCCCCAGCATCCACGTACAGTCAGTCTTTTTCTGTTTCATTCTGCAGGACTTCAAAGGAAGATAAAACAGGTAAAAAGTGAGAGGTAGAAAGAAAATAAGCAGGCTACAAAAAACAAATATGCAGCATGATCCCTGGTATCTCCTATCTCCTCTCCATACTTAAAATTATTGCTTACACATGTTATTTCATGCATAAAAGAAACCTGGAAGACAGTAGGCAAGCACATTTCCTCATTCTTCGCAGGCAAATCTAAACTAATTCCTCCCATTTATCCCAGCAGTCATCAGAAGAAACAGAAGATCAGGGAGCTATTTTAGATTTAAGCCAAAATAGACATCAACATTAGATGTTCATGGCTTTTCAGCTTCAGGCTTTTTGTCTAACAAGTAGATATATTTTTGTTTAATGAAAAATAATAAGGAACAGCGTTCATTAATTCTTACGGTTTCCCCCTATCCTCACCTACCCAGTATCACAGAAGATTGAATAGCTCCCCCATAGCCATCAGCTTTCTAGTTTCCCCCAGTTATCATTTCACATTGCTCTCGGCCAGCAAGCAAGAAGGGCAAAGAAGGTCTATGACCAGAAATATAGTGGGGCTGAGTTGTTGTTTGCTTCTTTAATTTACCAATTCATATTAAACAGCAGTAAAACTGCAGCAGCAGTCGTGACTGAGGGTTAAAAATCAATGCAAGATCTGTAAATTTTTGGTATGAAGTCAATCAAGTAAATGATTTTACTAAATAATGGAACTCATTTTGTAATTAGGAGATGCCAACTACCTTCTAGATATACTCTTCTTTGGCAGGATAGTGTGTTAGTTTGTTTTCCCAAAAGACACGATGCTAAGTATTATTGCACCAATATTTAAGTTATTTTTACTTATGGTCCTACAAAAAACACCTCGCTGCTGATGCCTTGCACTCCACTTTCAGAACAACCAAATAAAAGTCTTTAAATATTTTGGTAACTATCACAGAGAATCTAGAAATCCTAAATTTAAACCATGGATTAGACGGGGGATATTTTATGTTGAGGACAGCATTTGCATGGAGTGAGAATATTTTATTAAAAATGACTGCAATTCTCGTCATCCCAGAACTACTCAAGAATTCAAGTCAACCTCACTGAACAGTTCTGGCTGGAGGAAAAAGTGAGGGGTAGAAAGGATCAGTGGTGTGAAAAACATATCCCAGCAGTCATAAGGGGGATTTAACTTTTCAGAAAGGAACCCAGATGGGTGGCTCCCGAGGTGTTTTGACTGAGATGGCCTCATTCTGCGTAATCACTTTTTACAGAATTTTAAAAAAGCCTGGCAGAAGGAAAGACACACACCACGGGAAAATAAAAGCTGCTTAAAAAGATGCAGAAAGCAAATAAGCAGAAATCCAGCAATATTTGTACCATTCAATCCACATGCTTGCTCTTTTTCCATTGGGATCGCCCGTCTTCTCCTTAAAGCATTTTGAAGGATATTTGCCCCATAGATAATATGGGGATGGGGTGTTCCCTCCTTCTGTGGATGCTTTTTAATGGGCTCAATGAAGTAGTCACCATGGGGCAGATGGAAATATCCAGTCTGAAAATAAGCACAAAAGAGTTAATCTCTACTGTCCAGTACTGGAAGTCAAAAATAAAATAGACTCTCTTCATATCACCATCCCTGAGCTTTTCTTATAAAACAATCATTACACTGCAGAAATATGAAAACAGCAGGTTTTCAGCATTTATTTTGCTGCATACATCAAGGTTGCTTTGTACCTCACAAAGGCGTAACAGTCCAAAGGGGAACAGAAAAAATACCTTCTTCCTAATAACCTGAAATCCTATATACGGAGGCAGAGGCTCCCATATTTGCACAAAGCCACTGAAAGGTCAAAAGTTAATTTGTCAAATATGATGCACTAGAAAGAGTTGCATCTTGTTCTTCTGGTGTTTTGCATCCATTCCCCAGAGAACAAGCCCTGAATAGGAGCTGTTTCATAAGTACAAAGCGTAATTCTGCTCCTACCTGCAATTCCACAGTCAGATTACACAACCCATCAGATGGGCTGGACTGTGAGGTCCACCCTCGACTCAGACTACAAACCCACCCAGCCCCCAGGCTTCCAATGGATGAAGTAAGTAGCTTTTCATGAATTATAGCAAGCTTTTGTGATCATACAATCAGATCTGCATAACAAAGGCTGCAACATTTCTTGTGCTATTACTTCTGTATCAACCTCCCAGCTTTGACTGAGCTATAGGGCCTTTGATATCCATCTGAACTACACAGGATTAGTTTACGCCTCCCTGTGCCATGATCTAAGAGACACATGCAACCAGGCATGGCCTTGGTCCCTTATGTCTCAGCATTTTTGCAGGGATTGCTAACGTTGCAAAACCACTGTATCATCCTTCCACTTCAACATATACAGAACAGTACTAAATCTAAAGCAAAGGGTCTGCTGACATGCCAGCCCGCACTGGGGCTATGACAGGAGATTGAGGTATCCCACTCTGATGGCTTTGTTCCATCTTCACTTTCTTGCTGTGGTCAGTGCAGCCTTCTTAACTTGCTCTGGAGCCGGAAAAAATGCAGCAACACTGCACGTTTGTTTGCAGGAACATGACGTTCCTGCAGCTGCTGTGTTCAAACTTACAAGGACAGACAAATTTAAAAACTCTTTTGAAACGCTCCAAGGTCTTACAGTTTCCCTGGACAGTTGGGAAAGCCAGCATGAGGGTAAGGACAAGAGGGAAATCATATGAAGGGAGGAAAAGTATTCTTAAAAAACAAGCAACCATGGGCTCTGTGTACTATGAGCCCAAAGGCAGCTCAGTGAGATCTCCACACAATGTGCTTCAAAGTCCCTTCTACCAGATACCTTTTGCCTCCACTCTGATTGCCACAGGCCCAGTACATCCCACAGCAAACTTGTACAAATAAATAACTGTGACTGTCATTTCACAGAGTTTGTCCAACAGTTCTTAAGAGAAGAAACTCTTTCCTTCCAGTTTTCTGGTGCAAGTCAAAGTTTAAAAGCCAGAGGTTGGCCTTGGTTTGAAGCCTTGCTTACACCCATAAAGTTTCACAGGTTCAGGACTCAAAGTCACATATGTTTGCTCACCTGGGATTACAGTTACTGCTCATATGTTTTTTGTTTCATTTTTAAGAAAAGGAAATAAAGACTTCCGATTCTTAAACATGAAAGGCAAAAATGCTCAGGTTTCTTTTTAAATTGTAAATCAAGGCTACTTTTGATGTAGGAGCTGAGACGCACTACAAAAGCAATAAATCCCATGTTCAGATTGGATAAAGATGTCAGGCAAGCATGCATCTATAGAGCAAGAATACCTATACAGAGGCTAGACCAGGAAATCAGTAGATGTGGCTTTCCTCCTGCTGCTCAAAGAATCAAAGCACCATCACAAATCTTTGCCCATTCCTTTCCATTCCACAGGATTTGATCTTCCCTAGATATTCTTAAAGTCTCGGTTATTTGACCTTCTTTTCCTGTTGTGTTTTTTAACCCAGTTTGAACCAGGAAGAACTAACCATTTTCACTGCAGACCCTGATTTTATAGGGCAGGCTGATTAGTCACTGGGCTATTGTGTTAAAGTTGCATCTGTAAGAAGAAAGACCAGGCAGTCATATAAAAAATTAAGTATATTACTAGCAACCTCATTTCCCAAGCTCCCCCAGTGATGTTTGCATGTTAAAATTCAGCTCTCCATCCAAGCTGTATGGAGCAGAAGAAAAAACAAAAATTCCTCGTATTTCATACTGCATATGCACACACACAGATGGCAGTAAAGGTTGTTCAATGAGCCAGCAAACACTGGCTACCACAAAACCTGGCTTCAGACATTCCCATTGATTTTTTTGTGTTATTATTTTTTTCTTAACATTATCATTTTTCAGTATGGAATATCTATTTCCACAGTCTTACAGCTTTTTGCTATAACAACTCTATCCCAAGCCATCCCTGTTCCAAAACAGCCGCAACACCCCCAACCAGCTGGCATTCTGTGGACAACATTTGTTAAGTTCAGCAACACAGCTATACCATCCCAGGCACCTGCGGTAGAAACCCTGCCAGTCTTCCTCTAGATCTGGGATGAAACTAGGAGCTGTCCCTCCTGCCCTCTGCATTAATTGCTTGTCTGAACTAGTTCATGTACTGTTCTTGTCACTGTCATTGTAGCACTTTCCAGGAATACATGTAGCTACTTGACTCACATCTACTGCATGTGCTTCATTCTTTACATTGATAGATAACTGAATATGGACAGAAACACAGTTAACGGCACCATCCTTCTCTGTGTTGTAATTACTACCTTCGTGCTTGTCTCCTCTTTGTTATGCGAGGCAAGGTCCAAGAGAAGCCTCCCGCACTTCATGCAGAAAAAGTGGAAATTTTTAATATCCCTTAATTTCTGGAAAAGGCCATGTCTGTGTGTCAGATCTCCCCTGAAGAAAGCTACCTCAGGCATGTGTAACTTCTACATGACAGCTTTAACATTTGTTCTTTAAAAGAGGTTGATAACAGCCAGAACCTTCATATTTGTTTGCTACAGATTGCTGAATCTTCGGAAGATAAAGGCTGGTCCCACACTCGACATCCAGACTGAAGTCACTGTAGAGCATGAAGAAGTCTGAGGACCAATTTTACCAAGGAGACACTCCAGCATTTGCAGAGTGTCATCAACTCACAGTTCAACTTGACACAACAGCTCCTGACACCTTGGGACTATCAGAAAATCCCTACTTACAGAAAAGCAACTAAGCCTGTGGAGTAGCAAAACTAAACTGGAGCTAGAACCGCTGCCAGCTCAGAATAAAACAAGAAGCCTAGGTATATTTTCAGGTTACACACAGCTCTTCATGGTTGGCTTGGCAATATCCCTGGGCACACCCACACAGCCATTTCAGGCATTAGTGCAACGGTGCGTCCCCACAAACAACTGATGGGATGGCATTGAAATACATAAACCAGCTTTGTCACCAAAGAGAGCGCAACTCTACCTGTCAGCCCATTGACTGAGCATTTCTGAACCACAGACATGGCTTGTTGCAGTTTCTCTGGTTTTAGCTCTGACCTCACAATGACCAATGAAAAACCCTTTTAACCTCAGCCTAAAAAGTGGTTCTTGGGACAGGCGGATGCTTCCTTCGCTCCTGTTGCTTCTTGCAGTGTTGAAAAGTATCAGTATCATGAATTCAAGGCTACAAGTCAGTAGGCCAGTGTTCTGCATCAAACTCTTGGTTTAACCCAACAAAGCATTTGGGAACAAGGTATCCCTGCCTCTTTCCCATCCCCACCTCCTTGTTTCTGCCATCAAATTACGGCCACGAGTCCCTCCACAATGCAGTCCGAGGAGGGAGGAAGGAGGAGCAAGGTTACATTGAGCCCGTATAGCCTCTAAACTCATTGTAACATGAACCCTGCATCTTGATTCAAATTATGGAACAGACCTGACGTTCGCCCTGAGACTGAATGTACATTCAGCACTTGGGAATCTTAATTAAAAAACTAACTTATAAATCACCAGTGTTGTGCGAAACTTTCTTCTGTTTTCTGTCAGTCTACAGACTAAAGCCCAGGTCTACTCGCAGTACCTAAAAAATCTGCAAAGGCAAGGCTGGGGTGACAGTGTTACTGTTCTTACACAAAAGATCCAGCAGAACATACAGTTTTCCAAGTACTACACTTCTAGATAAGGTGACAGATTGCAAGTTGTAACAAAAGAATCATTTGCTCCAAAAGTTCTCATGGATTCTAAATTCTTGTAGCAATAGAATTTATTTAAACAAAACTGCCTGCTCTGTCTGTAACAAACTCCCCAGTAAAGTAATGTATTTATAAATAATCTTTCCTTTCACTTGAGCTTTGTGCTCTGGGAGTTTCTGAAAGAGTTTGAAATTTGGATGAAACCATCATCACTACAATGCAAAATAAGAGAAACGCCATTACATCCTACACGGCATTTTATTGCTATCTGCACTCTCCCAGTAAAGAGACCTGCCTCGATGTGTTCCCTGTTACAGGGCAAGAGACAGGATATGGCAACCAGGCCAGATCGTGTCTCTCCAAAGGTGTCAGTCAGTGTGTTACCAAACATCCCTGAGTAATCCCTCTTCCCTGACAGTTTCAACATATGGGTATTCTCTATTCATGGTGCTAGCCTGAAATGAGCGCATGCATTGCCCTAATTTGTCTTGCCACTGCACTTCTCATGGTGCTACAGCATGTGGAGAAAGCAAGCCGGAAGAGAAAATGAAAACAGAAAAAGTAGAACAATCTGAATAGATTCTCTGGTCTGTATTACTACACTCCCAGCCACCAGTCCAAGAGGAGATAAGGGTTCTTGAGACCAGTGTCTTAAATACAGCTCTGTAAATGTGGTACAGAAATGTTTTATGTCCTGTGTTATCTGAAGTACCATAAGCCAAAGCATATTTAGAGAGGCTCAGGAACTGTAGACCTTTCTGCACAGATGTATTGCTGCTGCTCATGACTGCAAAAGTAACTGAAGAGTGATACCAAAAATGTGCATTACTCCATGTCCTCTAAAAATCTGTAAAACACTATGAC